TGCCTCCATTACAATTGTAGGCTGTATTATTTACCTATGAGTTGTTAGAAGGTCTTGTGTATCATCAGATATGTCAGTCTGTTGGTTGAATTTCAATATTTTTGGAGGACCAAATCTTTTATTAATCAATAAAAAAATTGAATTTATTTGGGCTTGTGAATAAACTCAACGAGCAGTTTTGTTGAAATGTGGGTTAAGGATAATGTTCATGTTAAAATTGGGATTGAAATGTACTTGTGCTTGGGAGTGGCATTATGAATGTTGGGAGTTGGTGCCATAATTGATTTGATAGAATAGCAATTTCAAAAGGTTTGCATTAATTAATAACTGATGTCCTATTGAAGTAAACCATCAAGAACAGCATTTTCCATTGAACAGTAATTTTCGAAAAATCATGTCTCAGCATGAAATCGTGATTCCGATTGTTCATTTGAACATAATTTTTACGAGTGATTGTCTGAATATCATTCTTAAATGATAATTAACATCACACTTTTACTTATTATTCGTTTATTTACGAAAGCATTGGTGAATCTTTGCTAAGATGTGAACACATTAAACAAGGAACCAATTGTGAAGGTGTCATTTTGAATGTAGTAATAAAACACAATGCTACAAGCAATCAGATGATATTAGACCAAGTGATAAAGGGCCATCATTAAAAAATGGTGTGTTCCTCACTAGAAGCTCCTGATGATCCTCTGGCCTAACCAACTTTGGGTCAAAAGGTTCTCTATCAGGTAGAACCAACCCTTGTTTCAAGCGACCTAGACGCCTAGCATGAAGAACTTGCTTGGAGGTGAGTGGTATCCTAATCAACTTATACTCTTCCAAAGCTGATTCAAGCTTTTGTGCTCCCCACTTCTCCATGCATTTTCCTAACACAGCTGCATCTAATATGGACATGTTTGTGCTTCTAACACAGTGAGGAGTGGTGGGGTGAGCTGCATCCCCTACCAATACCACTTTCTCCCAAAAGATCTTCTCCAAGGGATCACTATCATATATGAAATTCAAGAAAGGTTCCCTTGTTTCTTTTATCACCTTTACCAATTCAGGAATCAAAACCTTTTCTGCCTCTTGCTGCATCTTCTGGATCATCTCACTATTTACCTTCATTGTCACTGATGTCCCCTGAAATGTGGCAACAAATGGAAGCATGAAGAATGACAGAAAAATCATTTCAGGATTCTTAGCAATCAGGTATTTAATATTGTAAGTAAATGGATGAGGAACAAAGTTACCTTAACTTCAGGCTCAGACTGATTCACAAACCAAACCCAATTGAGTCTTTTTTTGTGCAGCTCATACAGCACAGTGTGTGAACCTGAGGCCAAGTCAAAGTACAAGCATTTTCCTAGATCAGGGTATGCCTTTCTAATACCAGTGATGGTTTCTGAATTCTCAATTTTCGAAAAATCAAGAACCCCTCTCCATGCCCAATAGCCTGAATATCTGTAAAAGATACAAGATCTTATTAATGGACCTTTTCCAGATTAGCTGTGTCATTCATATTACAACTCGTACAACAACTTATGCACAATTCCATGACCATCTCTCTCCATCATACAATTAATTATTTCTCATTTTTCTATCTCTTTTTCTCCCTGGTAAACTTGTGCATTAAATTCATTGTACAAATATTATTTATCTTTCCAGATTGAAGGATAGAGAAAATGAACCATTTTGAAATACAAATGACAGCAAAAGTCTTATCCTACTAGGTTGAAATACAAACCTCAGTTTAAAATCAGGGAGATATTTCTGACGGATGGAAGAGAGACAACCATCTGCCGCAACAAGCAAATCCCCTTCTATCTCTACAACCTCACCAGTTTCTAGAACCTTAGCCTTTACTATGACAGAACCCTTATCATGTACAACATGGAAAGAGAGAAAAAGATGACCCCATAAAAATATATCTGATGGCAGTGCATTGTACAGAAGACCATGAAGATCTGCCCAATGTGCTGCTCTGAAGTTCAAACTCTCATCCCTTGTCAATGTACTGTGAACCTTCCTCTCACTATCAGTTACATAGTTCTGCTCAGGAGGCAAAAAAAATCATAACAAGAACAATAACTTTTTCTATTTTGCATATAAAACTGAAGTTTCTGTTAGCAGCATCATACATACATGAAGATCAAAAGGATCCCTTTTATTGGTTTATTTAATCACTGCTCATGATTTGAGAGAATGAACAGAAGAGATGAAACCTGATCAATGGTTAGAGGCAGAGTGGTGTTGAGTAGGAGCTGTTGTTGTGAGTGTGGAAGCCATGATTGAATGATTTGTTGGGAGAAAGAGTTGAGTCCAAGACCAGCACCAGTGGGGCTTCCAGTTGGAGATGAAGGTGTTTTCTCAAGCACGAGGACATCCCAACCAGCTAAGGTAAGAGCATGTGCACATGATATACCTGCTATGCTTCCTCCCACTATCACTGCCTTTCCTCTTTCTCCTTCACCAACCATTTTTTCTATGCTACTCTATCTGTTTCTTCAACCTTCAATTAATATCACTCACAAATGAAATGTATAATATATGCTCCATATCAACTCAAAGTCCTCGAGAGGCTTCTTTCGCACCACCAAAAGTTGCTTCTTACACCTCCGTAAATGCTTGTATTTTGAATTGGGTAATTCAAGCAATGAAAATTTTGTATAATCTAGTTTTTATTTTCTTATTTTATATTTCATAATTGAATTCAAATATATTTTTTTGTTTTCTAAAAGCATAATCTATAATACAAAAATTATATTATTACGTATATTATTTGGAATACATTTAATGTAGTCATTATACATTTTTTTCTATTTTTATGTTCGAAGTCTACTTTTAGTATAAAAAATGTATTCTAGATGTACCTTGTTAATTATGGGGATTGCAAACCATTATCATTCCATAGTTATAAAATTATTAAATAAAATATTATATAATTGATAAAGATAATAAAGGAGAACAAAATATGACTCATTTATTACAAAATATATACTTGAATAAAAGTAATGTATATATTAACTTAAAAGATACTATAATAAAGATATAAGAAGGAACAAAGTTTTTCAAAAGGTATAAACAAAACAAAATATACAACTCCTAATACTAAACAATCACGTCACCTTCTCCCTTCCAAGATGTCTTCAGACATGCATCATCATTTGCTTACATAATTAAGATCATCATTATAAAAAAAGAAACATACAAAAAGAATGTTAAAAAGTGGACTTTAAACCTAACTCAACCCCACAAAACCGACTTGTAAGATGAGGTTTGTACCCACTTATATATTATAAACTGGCCTTATCTCTAGTTGATGTGGAACTTCCAACACCCCCCCACCCCCCCACCCCCTCTCACGCTGAGGTGTAGACATCCTCTCGAGCGTGAGACTAGACATTAATGGGTGGTCTGATAGCGGCCTGATAGCTGGTGAAACAATATGCCCAGTAAATAACAAATATTGCTAAGATAGACTCTAACCATAGCTTTGATACCATGTTAAGAAGTGAACTTTAAGCCTAACTCAACTCCACAAAAATTGGCTTGTAAGGTGAGGTTTGAACCCTATATATTATAAATTGGCCTTATCCATAGTCGATGTGGGACTTCCAACAACAAAAAATACAAAATAACATAAGGGTAAGCTTGCAAGGAAACATCATGTATCAATTAAATATGTTGTCACATCATACCAAATAATTTTGTAAGCACACAATCCACAAGATAAAGACTCTTCTAGACTAATAATTTGGATAAAATGCATTGATGTTGGACAACTTGGAAATTTTGCACTTGTGATGGAAAATCTTCCACCTGACAATGTTAATCCATTTACTATTATGAGAACTTCAAAATGTTCTTTAGATCAAAACCTCTATTATTCTCACCACCTAATTCATCCTCTTATATGTGAGTATATGATTAATACACTGTCAAGATAACTTCCATTTTTTGTCCCTACTTCAATGCATACCCTGAGTAAACACATATCAAAAGGATTTCCTTCTTGGACTTCCTTATATCATTCACCATTTTATACCTCATTGTATTCCAAAAGCTCATATTATCCACAAACTTTTAGTACATTCCAATAATCACCAAGTCACATATGATAAAATTCCACACAAGAAAAGATAAGTTATCTCTAATACGCCCTAGTGACCACATAATCCTCTTGACGCCACTAGTCCTAGAGGTGTGCCTCTAGAAGGCTATTGCCCAACGCCAGCTAAAATGGCATCCAACGCCACTTTCTCGCCCAACCAACCCAGGGCTTGTCTAATGAAACAACCATTGGAGCTCCCAGGATTTACATCCTAGAAATGGCGCGTAGGAAGTGGCGCCCAGCAAAATCCAAACCAAAGAGCCTTTGGATGAGTGGTGTCCAACAGTATCAATGTTGCTTGATGCCATATCAAAAAACAAATTTCTCCCTTTGAGCTTCAATTGATTAATTTGATACCTCTTGAGTTAATTTTCACTTCATAACACTCCATTTTCATAAAAATGCATGTCCTTAACTTAAGTAGAGTCAATTACTCAATTAAGGATCCCACAAGGGTACTTTTAGCGAACCAATTACATACAACATACTTCTCACAATTCAAATGCAAAATCACAATTAAATAATAGTTTTAGTCAACCAAACATGTAAGTCACAACACACAATAGTTCAGTTCCATCTTATATCACACACAAATCACTCCTAACAATTTGAACATACAACATCGCATAAAATTACAATATAGTTTCTCTCACCTGCAAAAACAACTTTAGACAGCTTAAAAACCGAAAAGCCTTTAACTCCACATGATGCTCTAAATAGAAACATCACAATAACGATCAAATCATACCTTTATGATCATTGATCAAGAGAGACTCGGAAGATTTAAACCGTACATGCAACCAAGCGAAGTGTGCATGCAAACCAAAAACAAAATTGATAAAAAAGAAAAAAGGGCAACAATCCAACTTGCTCGGACTGAGAAAACAATCGGTTCAAATTGAAGATCTCACTGCAAGGATCACCATAGTGGTCTTTGATCTTCAAACAAAGGCATAAAGAGTCATATAAAGAAAAAGATAAGGTATAGAGTTCTAGAAAAGTGGTTTATAGAGAGATGATTATTTTAGAAATAATGAAACTCGTTTATGAACCTTTCTATTTATAATTTGGCATTTTAATATTAAAATAATTGAGTCTAAATATTTAAAGACACTATCAACTTTCTAAGACCGACCATTTTCTATGTTCTTTGCACTATCTCAAACAACAACAAAAATTTGCCTTGAAAGTTTAACTTACCACATAATAGATGAGGGTATGACTTTCTCATATCCTCCTCTGACTCCTATGTAGAATCACATGTTCACCTATCCAAGACCATTTTCACTAGATTAAGGGCCACTTTCACTAAACTGGTGGATTTCCCTATAAGTTGTTTTGTCTAGCAATCCTCTATGCCAACCAGATAAACCTCCATTAAGAGATCTTTCTTGGTTCGATCATCCTCCATTTTTAGCACATGAGAAGGATCAGGTACATACTTCCTCAATTGAGATACATGAAACATAAAACGAAGGTTTTCTAGTTAGGGAGGCAAGACAATCTCATAAGCTATTGTCCCAATTTTTCTCAAGATCTGATATGGACCAATGAACTTAGGAGAAAACTTCTTAAACAAATAGCCCTTCCCATACCAGTGGTTGGAGTCACCTGCAAGAAAACATGATTCCCAACTATAAACTCCAACGGTATTCTCCTTGGATTAGCATAAGACTTTTGCTAACTTTGTGAGGCATTCATTCTCTCTTGTATATTTTTCACCTCTTTTATGGTCAATAGTAAGAGTTTAGGCCCTACCAACACTACTTCTCCATCCTAGTACTAGCACAAAGGAGTTTTGCATATCCTACAATATAGAGCCCCATAAGGTGTCATGGTAATACTTGTTTGATGATTGTTGTTGTAGGTGAACTCTACCAAAGGCAATGTTTCTCCCAACCACCCAAATGATTCAGTACACAGGTACTAAGCAAATTTTCTAGTAATTGAATTGTCCTTCTAGACTGCCCATCTATCTAAGGATGATAAGCAAAACTCATTCTCAGGGTGCTACCCAAAGCATCTTACAGGGTCATCTAGAATCTAGAAGTAAAGTACAGATCTCTATATCCTAATGTTGGAAGGCACTCCATGTAGCGCTATTATCTCCTTGATGTATATATATGTCTGAATGAATTGTGTCTCTAACACAAACCAGGGAATATGTATTTATAACATAATACATAATCAATTATAATAAATACACCTAATAATTATGAATCAATCATTGTAATTTCCCATATTATGTAATGCCTATTCCCTAGAAATTTGTAACAGATGAGTTTATTCTAACACTCCTCCTCAAACTGGAGCATATATGTCATATGTACCAAGCTTGCTACAAATGTACTCAATCTGAGGGCCTCTAAGGGACTTGGTGAACATGTCAGCCAATTGATTGTTAGAGTTGACAAAATTAGTAGTGATTTCTCCAGAGAGCACATTTTCTATAACAAAGTGACAATCAATTTCAATGTGTTTGGTTTTTTCATGGAGAACTAGGTTTGATGCAATGTGAAGTGCAGCTTCATTGTCACAAATAAGTCTTATTTCATGGATGTCTCTTATTTTTTTGTTGTAGAAGTATTTGTGTAAGCCACGTAAGCTCATAAGTGATTGTTGCCATAGCATGATATTTTGCTTCTGCACTATATCTAGCAATTATATTTTGCTTCTTTCTTCTCCATGTGATACGGTTTCCTCCAATAAGAACACAATATCTAGAAGTGAATCTTTTATCTGATGGTGATCCTACCCAATCCGCATCAAAGTAACAAGTGATCTTAGTAATGTTTTTATCTTTATACAATAATCCTCGTCTGAAACCTTTTTTTTATGTATCAAAGAATACGTGTCACAACCATCCTAATGCTTATCACAACGAGCATTTAGAAATTGGCTTACAAAACTTTGTCTTCATACAATAATTCCTTGATTACATAATTCTGGGTTATGTGATTTATAATATTGTTATAAATTACTTAAGTCAAAACGATATTGTAAATTATATAATTTTGTTGTAGATCACGTTGATCCAAATTGCATAATTCAAAAGTATGATAAGTGCATGTTGATCGTTTTGTATAATAAGAGAATAATAAAAAGGTAGAGAAAGAAAGAAGCTTCTAATTAAATACTCAACATTTAGTTCAATCTAATAAAAATAAGGGTATTATTTTACCATCTCCATATATTTGTCTTATATTAATATTATAATAAAAGTTACATTATATATTGGATGGAAACTTTTTTTATTGTACAATTTAAAAAGTATAGTTTAGATGATGCAAATTCAGAGTTTAAAAATATATTCTTGATAGAAATTCAAAGCATAAAAATGTCTTCTAAATTACACAATCCTTCCAAATTATACAATGAAAATATATCCTAAATCATGTAATTTGAAAATATATTTTAAATTACGTAATCTAAAAATTTAGAAATGTATTCCGGATTAATCCACAATAAATTTTTGGATGACCCATTCTTAAAATTTGAAAATGTCTTTTACATAGCTAATTGGAAATGCATTTCTGAATAAAACTATAATGTATTTTTGGATATGGAAATATATTATACATTGTGCAATTATATTCCCGAATTACATAATTCAAGCATGGGCATTTTAAACATTTTCAAAATCCCCGTGAAGATGCAGAAAGAAAATATGGGAGTACAAAAAAATTGCATAAGAAGAAGTTATACTTGGAAAGTGACTTTTTTTTCCTCTTTTATTAATCTAGGCATGCAAACATTGCAGAATATTTCCTACACCCCCCTCCTTTTCTTCCTTCACTACCTAATTATATTTGAGATACAAAAACTCACTTTTAAAATCCTTGACGTATTCCAGTTTCCAAAGTTATATAAAATAAGTATAATTGACATAATTTTGGATGAAGTATTTTGAACTGCTGGAACACTAACATCTAATTTAAAATTATGGTTTCACTATTTTATATATGTTAAAAAATGGACATAATTGAAACTTCAAAGAATAAAGGTGCCAAAACAAATATATAGAGTGCATAAAGAAAAAACTCCATAATAAAAATTATAAAAATATTGAAGTCTCATATCTTATTCAATTAGTCTCTTGTGATTTTGTATATTCCAAATAAATTTTAACTAAATTGTGAACAAATAGGCTTGATACCAACCTACTTGACGTAGTCTTAGTCATCTAAAAACCGATTAGGCATATGATGATTCAAATATTAATAAATAAATTGGAATATATCTGTTCTAAATAAATATAGAAAGAGTTTATCATAATCAAACTGAAATAAATACGTGATGTTGAATAAATCTGTTAAATAATATAGCAAATTTTCATAGAATCAAATAATAAAATAAATGATAATGAGATAAAAAAATTATGCATGTTAAACTTAATTTTAATATGAAAATTATAAATCCAAAAGAATACTTGGCTATAAATAAAATTAGTATGATCATTATAAAACAACACAATGATTACTCTAGAAAATGGATCATCATCAATCTTGGTTGTTTGTACTGGGTAGAGGCTGCATTCTATTGGATGAAGATGGAGAATGAGAAATTTTAGAAATGCCACCTTATTTCAGTGGAATTTTAATATCCCAATTTTAACAACGGATTAAAACGGTAGATAATTCATTGAACCTTCCATTAAATACCCAAACAGAGCACTGCACTTTATAGAGCAGCAATTAGAATACCCTTGAAAATTACATTGTTCTCTTCAAGTGCGTTATCTCAACACAGTTTTAATGTTCTTCTTATCAACCATTGACATCCTATATAGGACCAATGTAATATAGTATCTAAGGGACTAATTTGACCAATTGAATCCTTCGAGTTATAATTTAGTAACAATCTTTGGAGGACAAATACAATGATTTAATCTTTGGTGACATGTGTCTCTTTGGAATATCAAATTGAAGAAATTCTCAAATATAATATATTAATACCATAAAAATCAATGGTATTTACAACAAAAAGTAAAAATAAGGTCATGGAACCAAACAAGTTGACCAATAAGTTAGTCTTCTAAATTAGCAATCCTCAGAAGTTTTTTACCAATTTCATGCAACCTGATTTCGTATAGTAAGGTTCGAAGAAACTAGGTGATTGAGTTCCACCTTATAGAATGTGAGGCCTTTCGGAGGAGATCAAATCAAACAATAATGGATGAATGAACTCGATTAACTTCACTCACTATAACCAAAACTATCAAAAGGATTCTTTGTTTCACTCACTATAACAATTGTGGAGTGAAAGTTATGTGACCATCCTTAGAAGAGCTAACATCCATTGAATAGAAAAGGATAAAAATAATTATTAATTTTTTTTCGCTATCAGTAAATCACAGGCTAAACCAGTAAAATTTGAAAGCAATTCCACAAAATCACGGTAAACAAAACATGTGACAAATTCTTTCCATATCTTGTTCATCGTCATAGCAACTCACTAATTTGAATAAGGTACATAATATCCTTAAAGCTCAGGCATTCCCCTTCCTGTTTTAGCATCGTAAGTCTTCTCTAGCACAAGATCCATTGGAGTATCTTTAGGACCAACTGCCAAAAATAAATAACAAAGGATAATATTTTGGATTTAAGAAAAACGTGTTATAACATATCTTTGAAATGACTTAGTTGAAAGGCAAAGGTTTCGCACTGAATTCTAATTTCATATATCCAAACAAATTTTTGCACATTTATGGAGGACGACCAGGAGAATGAGTTCGTACCACTTACTATACTACGTTAAACCTAGCTTCTGACTCAAATATAACAGAAGAATTAATCTATCAATCCAAATTACTCTGTCAATAAATTCTAGTGTTATACCATATAAATGTGCGTTTACTTACTCTTCTGCATATAAAACCATGTCAGTGGGTCAATATGAAGGAGCGGGGATCAACTAACAAAAGTACACAACATAGAAACATGACTTTTTAAGGAAATGGAAGGCACTTTATGAATCCCGAATCTTTATGATTAAGATCCTCTATCCAACACCCTTTCCCAAAGGCTTTCTTTTACGTTCTAGTGCTTACTGCTGTTAGGAAAAAAATGCTTTCTATTGTCTTCTAGGTTATTTTGTAAAAGCTGCTTTGGCTGTGGTTGTCAATCATACAGGGTCCTAGGTGTAGGTTTTAAGTCAGCCTATTTATATTTCTGTTAACATATATAAAAATAGATCTCCTGAGAGCCCACATTCTCAAGCATTTTTCTCTAAGACACTTCTACTCACATCTACTGCTACCATAATTACGGATTTCAACAAAAAAAAAAGGAACAGTTTAAAGAATGTCTCTAATGTGCAAGGAAGCTCCCCTTCAAGGCCAAGATAATAACAAGTTTATGGATAATCACATGTGCTAGCAGCCTAACAGAATCGTAGCAAAAAAGAGCAGAGGTACATCAAGAGAATTGAAAGAGAAATATCAGCTACTATCACCAAAGGTTTCTTAATTTAATAAGTAATCTTTGTGTTTGGATTTGACTATTTTTAGAGATTATGGACTGTTTCAACATAAAAACTGTTATAATCTTGTTTATTAACTATTGTCTCTCTCTTTCTCTAGTCTGCATATGCCATTTCATTAGCTTGTTGTACATACATTCTGCATAGCCAGTTTCTCACGTTCATTCAATTCTCTCTTAGTTCTTGCCATTTTTATTAACAATTCAGACAAGAAACTTGTATTAGCCTTCAGATACTTACGGACTGTAGGTCTTGGGGTAGTTCTTATCTTTAAGATCTCAGGACGAGGGATTATAGACTCAGATGCTCCTATTCCTCTGGATACTCTGACTTTAGTACCATCTTCAAGATATTTAACCCCAACCTTGCAAGGCTTCCTGAAAAAATGAAACTTTGTTAATTCAATATATGTTATCCTCAAACCCAGAAGATGCAATCACAAGCTATGCTCTTTAACAAATGTGCATACCCGGTCACTGGGTCAAGAACTTGAACGTTGGAGGCATGGATTGGGGCTTCAACAGAAAAGATGCCCCCTTCATGGCCTTGCCCTTGCTTAATATGCTTCTTCACCTGCAAAGAGAAAGTCAATCCGCATTGGAAAGAGAAAACAGTCAGGCAAATTTACACAATCACATGTCCAGATCTCAATTAGACAATTAACAAAGTAATTAATACTAGAAACATCGGTAATGGAATTGAAAATACAGACACTTCAAAAATTGGACTAGGAATGCCCAAATTATGATGGGGAGTGTTGTGTTCATCCCTCACCAGATTTTTACCCTCAACAATGACACGATTCTGAGAGCGAATAACACGCTTAATAGTCCCAGTCTCACCCTTATCTTTGCCTCTTATTATCATAACCTGTTACAAATGAATAAATGAATGACTGTATAATAATTATTATTACCATTTCAAAATAAAAAAGTGGAAGTGTGAAAGAACAAGCAGCAATATAATAGATATATATATATATATATATATATATATATATATANGGCTGTGGTTGTCAATCATACAGGGTCCTAGGTGTAGGTTTTAAGTCAGCCTATTTATATTTCTGTTAACATATATAAAAATAGATCTCCTGAGAGCCCACATTCTCAAGCATTTTTCTCTAAGACACTTCTACTCACATCTACTGCTACCATAATTACGGATTTCAACAAAAAAAAAAGGAACAGTTTAAAGAATGTCTCTAATGTGCAAGGAAGCTCCCCTTCAAGGCCAAGATAATAACAAGTTTATGGATAATCACATGTGCTAGCAGCCTAACAGAATCGTAGCAAAAAAGAGCAGAGGTACATCAAGAGAATTGAAAGAGAAATATCAGCTACTATCACCAAAGGTTTCTTAATTTAATAAGTAATCTGTGTGTTTGGATTTGACTATTTTTAGAGATTATGGACTGTTTCAACATAAAAACTGTTATAATCTTGTTTATTAACTATTGTCTCTCTCTTTCTCTAGTCTGCATATGCCATTTCATTAGCTTGTTGTACATACATTCTGCATAGCCAGTTTCTCACGTTCAATCAATTCTCTCTTAGTTCTTGCCATTTTTATTAACAATCCAGACAAGAAACATGTATTAGCCTTCAGATACTTACGGACTGTAGGTCTTGGGGTAGTTCTTATCTTTAAGATCTCAGGACGAGGGATTATAGACTCAGATGCTCCTATTCCTCTGGATACTCTGACTTTAGTACCATCTTCAAGATATTTAACCCCAACCTTGCAAGGCTTCCTGAAAAAATGAAACTTTGTTAATTCAATATATGTTATCCTCAAACCCAGAAGATGCAATCACAAGCTATGCTCTTTAACAAATGTGCATACCCGGTCACTGGGTCAAGAACTTGAACGTTGGAGGCATGGATTGGGGCTTCAACAGAAAAGATGCCCCCTTCATGGCCTTGCCCTTGCTTAATATGCTTCTTCACCTGCAAAGAGAAAGTCAATCCGCATTGGAAAGAGAAAACAGTCAGGCAAATTTACACAATCACATGTCCAGATCTCAATTAGACAATTAACAAAGTAATTAATACTAGAAACATCGGTAATGGAATTGAAAATACAGACACTTCAAAAATTGGACTAGGAATGCCCAAATTATGATGGGGAGTGTTGTGTTCATCCCTCACCAGATTTTTACCCTCAACAATGACACGATTCTGAGAGCGAATAACACGCTTAATAGTCCCAGTCTCACCCTTATCTTTGCCTCTTATTATCATAACCTGTTACAAATGAATAAATGAATGACTGTATAATAATTATTATTACCATTTCAAAATAAAAAAGTGGAAGTGTGAAAGAACAAGCAGCAATATAATAGATATATATATATATATATTGTGGAGAATTTGGCCTGGCATGGCTTACATTATCCCCTCTGAGAACTTTCCAGTGCCTAATGAGTTTTTCAGCAGCTTTCCAACCCATTTCACGATTCACTCTAAGACCATAAAAACAGAGTCAAAAACACAACAGAAAGCAATTCGAAAAGAAATCTTTAACATTAACAAATGATATCTTCGAACTTCAATGTGTGATAAACTGTTCACAAATAGTGTTTCATGCTAACCTTCTCAGTTTCTGCACAAATTATTAAAACCTAAATATTACTTAATACACCAAAAGGCCTAAGCAAAATGGTTTTGATAAATGAAACTGATGAAGTTAAAGAGAATGAGTTTGCGATGAATAGTACCATAAGAGAGAAAATTGGGGACAGCTACAAGGGCTTGAAGTGTGTAGCCACTGATACAAGAATCGTGGTTCGACAATTCATAGATTTGGTGATATTAGACGAAAGGTGGCAAAATGGATCAATCCGATCCGATTTGGCCTAACCCGTTTCTGGCCTTGCTGTATCCAGACTGGGCCAGACCAGCCCGGTAACAGAACACGGGCCAATTTATCTAACCTGTCCCGTCCCTTGACGGGCTGCCTGTCCCGTCCCTTGACGGGCTGCCTGTCCCTTTTTTATTTAAAATAAACTTATTCGTCTAACTATCACTACATCACTTAAAAATAAGTCTTCATTCAAAGTTAAATGGGCCGAAACCTAGTGCACCATTAAATTGTAGTATCATACAAGTAAGTCTAAAGCCAAAACCAGCTTGAACTATTCTTAAAGAAGACTCACCAAAGATACAATTGAAAACATAAAATCATGAGTTGAATAATGAATCCTCTAAAAACCGAATTTATCATGCATTAAATCCCAGTAGGCCAAAATGGAATCACAATACAACAGAGTCTCTGTTACTAAATTGGCATAGCAATTCAAACTGATAAATAGCCCATATGAAAACATTCCAATCCAAACTGCAATCACTCACTGATTGGGAAATACAATAGCATCCTAACAGGGCTATGCCCACCATCCTAAACTGAAAACTTATAACTCAAATCAAATTAAACAAAATCAATCAACAACTTAGTTACACAAATACCTCAGGATTAATAGGTAAATTCTATCAATTAAAAACATTCTACAATCTTCCCCAGCTCATGATTAATCACTTAACCTCCATTTTCACGTAGACAGCAGCCCCCATCAGCACAGGGTCAACTGCTTCGGTCATTACCAAATATATATACAACTGAAGTAAAAACGAATGGCCCACAAAGGAGGACACAAACACAGATCCAATCGTGGGTATTTAAGATACTCGTGACCTACCAAAATCTGAGAAAGCACCCAAAATCTGAGAAATCCTACAATGTGAACGAACCTGGGTCGCCGACCAGAACGGGTTTCTTCGTCGTCGTCAGTGTACTGCCCGCCGGCGCCGTCGGTTTTGTAAGCGTGGGTGACCAAGGCTGCTCGCGTTCTTCGTGGGTTTCGTGGCGTTTCTCTCGTGCTCTCTCGGTTGCTTATTGTGTGTGACTCGTGAGTGTGAAACAAACAAACAAAGCAATGATATGGGCCACGGCCCAACCCATTTCACTTTAACGTCAACTTCACTTTCACACGGTAAAACGGGCTACGGATCACTCCCCAGCCAAGCCTTCTCCAATTATCAGAAGGGTGTTGCTACTTCCATCACCACACTTTTCTCCCTCCACCTTTCCAATTTTTTTTAATTCCAATTATATCCTCAGATTAAATTTTTTTATTTTTACTATTTTAATTTATTTCAAACCTAGTTCTCATACTTTACTCCCTGCACCCAATCTTTCTATCTCTCATTTCCGTTTAGCAATTTGTCTTCCGTTTTACTCTGCAACCCCATTTGTCTTCTCTGTTTCACTTCTCCTCTGTTTCTTTCTTCTTCATTTTCCTTACATTATTAAAATACATTAAAAATATATTCAAAAATAATAAATCAAAACATTTAAATTAAATTATTAAAACATTTCCAAAATAAAGAATAAACTAATAAAACAAACCCTAAAATAAAAAACGTAACCTTTAAACGGAGGTGACATCCTTCAACAGATGTCAACATCCGTTTAAGGAAAACCGGATGTCGACATCCGTTTTACCTTAAACGAATGTTGACATCCGTTGAAGGATTTTAACATCCGTTGAAGGATGTCACCTCCGTTTAAAGGTTACATTTTTTATTTTAGGGTTTTATTTGGAGGTTTATTCAAATACGCACTTTGAGGAAGCAACACACGCACTGCACCACTCCACACACTGCACCACGAGAGCGACACTGCACCACGAGAGGGAGGCTGTTTGATAATTCTTTCCACCACCACCAACCTTTGCAACTTGTAGTATCTCACAGCGACGAAAGAAAGAGAGAAAGAAATATAATGTTAAAATGAAAGAAAAGTATTTTACCCATGTACGGGGGACTAGAATAGGTTATTAGTGGAATAGGTTGTGAATGGGTAAAATTAAAAAATAACCCTAAAAATAAAATTTTACTTAGGGGCAAAATAGTAAATGGGAGGTGGAGGGAGAAAGGTGTGGTGGTGGAGGGAGCAACACCCTTATCATAATTGATCGCCTTTATCAACTTGACAGAGGAACACTGTTTGTAAGACCAACCATTTCACTTTTTTTTCATTATTTTTTTCAAAACGCTCAAGCACTCTAGCTATCACTTTTTTTCCCACTGGGACACTCAAGATAATTGGCTTTTGATGTTAAGACACTATAATCTATAAGACTAGATTGTCTAACACCTTCATGTTTTGAAGTTTAACAAATAACGGTAAACGAAATGAGTATTTAACAAAGTATTATCTTTGTAAAAATAATATCATTGAATAAAAAGACATTGTATGAAACAAGTGGTACAACATTTGAATAAACAAAGAAAAGTTTTAGTAAACGCGCTAGGATCAAATGATCCTTTTGATAGTAGACGACCTATTAAACTATGTCTTATTATAAAAACGCCATTGCATGATAATTTAGTAAACGTGTTATTCAATGAAATTTTAGAAAACGTGTTATTATGATAGTAGAGTATCATTGAACAATATTTTGCAAAACGTGTCAATGTGTTGCATGATATCCTTGTTAAACGCACTCCTACAGTATCTTATTAAACAATGCAACAATGTGTTGCATAATGTTTTTGGTAAACGTGCTAAAGCTATAGACAACGCTTTAAAAAAAATGTGTTGAACAATATTTTCCTAAATCTGCTCATATACTAAACAAAGATCCCTAAAATGATGCGTTGTTAGTAAATGTTAAACGATACCTTGATACAAAACGATATTTTCATCCAACAATGAAACCCTTATGAATCAATATGTGGTATCCTTTTGAAAGTGCTTAAACGATCTACATGTATTGAGAAATTGATGAAGTTGTTTTGAACACGCAATGTAAAGCATTAAATGCACAATGTTTCAAATAATAGAAGTAACAAGAAAAGGGACATATTTGTCAGCATGCATTTCTACTCTACCTTGTGGAGATGCCTTTCACAAGTATCCACTTGTTTCATCATGAAAAAGTCAGAAGTGAACGTTAGAAACAAAGAAGACATTCACAAAATGTTCTCTTAATCAAAAGTCATGTTGAAGAGTTCATACAACCTACTCTGGTTAAAGTACTACAAAAAACATGTCTGCTCTGACACGTTGACTTCAACTTATAGCTGCTACTTACGAAAAGGCTACGAAGATCTTAAGATCAAATATAAGCATTGTTTAACGGGTCTTTTCCCATGTAGCCTATAAATAGAAGATCCCTTGGAAAGAAGAACAGGAAGGATAAACATACAAACAATGAAAAGATCAAAGTCAAACTCTTACTCATACAAGAACAAAAACGTTGAGAATATACTTCCAAGCTTCATAGAATCATAAGCTTACACTTGTAAGAAGAAAGAAAGTCCTACAAGGTATTTTAGATTGAGTTGTATTACAAACACATTCTCTCTGTGAGAGTTATCATCTAAGACTTGTAAAATTAATTGTACATTTTGAAGAGAATTTAAACACTTGATGGTTAGCTCGGTTGAGTTAAACACATACTGAACAGTTGTCTAGTGGAAACTAGGAGTGGGTAAACTTAGTTCTAGTCAGCATAACTAGTGTTACCAAAATTGACTAATGTAACCAGGAGTGATGCTAATACTCAATTCTAGTCAACATATTAGGTGTTATCATAATTGACTAGTGTAACCAGGAGGGTGTTAATACTCAATTGTAATCTTGTTGAAATTATAGTGGAACCCTCTAAGAGGTCTTAGAGGAGAACTAGACGTAACTCAACTGAGTGAACCAGTATAAAATAATTGTGTATTTATTGCTTCATCTTTACAAAACATATTATTTATAAACACTGCAGTTGCTTGTGAAGTTAACCATTATAAAGTTAATCATATAATACATTTATTTATGGTTTTTGGTAGATCTTGAAATACAAAGAATACTTGTGAGAATGAAGGTTTTGTGGATATATGATTTGATGAGGAGGTTAATCATGTGATTGAGGTAAATGTTTAAATGAGGTATTTCCTATATGAATGAAATGTGATATATTGTTGGATGTTATGATTGGTTGTATCGCCATATGATTCCTAAGGAGGAAGGATGCGACATGTGAGTCTAGTGTTATGCATTTGTTATGGGCACTTATTTGGAAGTTATCCTAATACTCTACTAGACTCAGACTCATATAAAGGAAGGAGTTTATGTGGTGAAAAAGGGAAAAAGGTTCCTATAATTGGTCTTCAAGTCATGGACTTTATTTCTTTTAGGCTATGAGTGAAGTCACTTTGTCACGAGAGAGGTGGACCAAGTACCATTACTAAAATTGTAACACCAAAGATTTCATTTTTACATGACAAAACAAAGCTTATAGAGTATGAATGGATGCATAAGTCTGGATAATTGAGTTTAGGCTATATTTATGTAAATGAATGAGAAATGAATTTTTGATATATGAATTGAATATTTGCTAGTTTGACTATAGTAGATCTTTATATGATAATTGTGTATAAATGTCTAAGTTATCATTAGTTTACCCTCATTTGTTTGTTGGTTATTTGTGTCTTTTTTTTAATGATCAATTTTATGGTACGAGCAAATGATTGTATATGTGGGGATGATGCTAGCTAATAGCTTGAGAGTTGAAGTTTTAGAGTTCTTTTGGAAGAATGTACGTAAAATATATTATATTGTGTGTAAGACCCGAGAAATTTAAGAATATTTAGAAATAATAATTGTATGAATTTATCATAATTTAAATGCGTTGGGTGAATGGATGTATATGGTAAAAATGATTGTTATTTTGTTATGACGGTGGAGAGCTATCAAAAGAGTTAAAGAGGGGTTATATAGTTGTTTTTGCGTTATTTATTAGTTTGGAGTGCACTGGTCTAGTGGTGAAGTAGATCGTCCAGAGGTGCTACACATGAAGGGTTCGAGTCCTGCCTACGTCACTTATGAAATTAAATACCATTTATGTACTATCGAGCTCCTCGGGTCAAGCTGTTGGTGGTCCAAAGTGTTTGAAGAGGTCAAATTCTTTTAATTTTTGGCCTAGGTTGCTTAGAGTAGAGGTAGTGAGTGTTAGCCTTCAATGTCTATGTTTGAGAAGTTATGTTAGTGCATATCCCTTTTGTTTGGTGTGTGTGCCGTGAAGATGATGATGGTATGTATCATGTGAGTCATGCTAATTATTTTAACCAAATGTATTATGTTGCATGTATTATGTTGCATGTGTTTTGTTGAGTTATGTTCATCCTTGTATTCGTAAATTATTATGAATGATTTTAGGGTTTTAGGGTTTTTATGTGTTACATGAACATGAGACATGATTTATGTATTATATGATTTTATTNTTACTTAGGGGCAAAATAGTAAATGGGAGGTGGAGGGAGAAAGGTGTGGTGGTGGAGGGAGCAACACCCTTATCATAATTGATCGCCTTTATCAACTTGACAGAGGAACACTGTTTGTAAGACCAACCATTTCACTTTTTTTTCATTATTTTTTTCAAAACGCTCAAGCACTCTAGCTATCACTTTTTTTCCCACTGGGACACTCAAGATAATTGGCTTTTGATGTTAAGACACTATAATCTATAAGACTAGATTGTCTAACACCTTCATGTTTTGAAGTTTAACAAATAACGGTAAACGAAATGAGTATTTAACAAAGTATTATCTTTGTAAAAATAATATCATTGAATAAAAAGACATTGTATGAAACAAGTGGTACAACATTTGAATAAACAAAGAAAAGTTTTAGTAAACGCGCTAGGATCAAATGATCCTTTTGATAGTAGACGACCTATTAAACTATGTCTTATTATAAAAACGCCATTGCATGATAATTTAGTAAACGTGTTATTCAATGAAATTTTAGAAAACGTGTTATTATGATAGTAGAGTATCATTGAACAATATTTTGCAAAACGTGTCAATGTGTTGCATGATATCCTTGTTAAACGCACTCCTACAGTATCTTATTAAACAATGCA